ATCGATATAGTTTAAACGTAATTTTCACGATTCTCGGGGGGATCGGGGCCCCTCGAGAACAGCTGTAGCTCCGCCCCTGCCTTCAAGGTATCCCCCACAGGTGTTTTAACACATAAGGCATATGTGCAAACATATATGGCATGAATGACTGCGAGGAACCAGTATCAATTAAAGCATATAATTGCCTGCCAAGAATAGAAAGCATACCAGTCACCACTTCTTGTGCTAGTACTGCCTCACTTCGGGTCATTGCATAAACCCTTGGTGTCCCCAGTGCTCCTGCACCCTATGTACCCCTTCCAAATGGTTGATGTTGACCACCACCTCTAACACCCTGTGAACCACCACGACCACTTTGAAATCCACTACGGCCTCCCTGGTAACCACTCCTGGTTGGGGCTCTACTAAATTGCACTTAAGGCTTAGACTGAGTAGCTCCCCCTCCTCCCACATGAGGACAATTCCTCATGACGTGCCCAGGCGCAGGCAAGCCACAACGGAAACATACACCAAAAACCTTCTACACTCTCCAGGGTGCCTCTTTTGACAGACTTGACAAAAAGGATATTGTGAAGCTGAGGAAATTGGTGCCCTATATGATGTTCCTGATATAGATTGTTCTCCCAAAAGTGATAGGATCTCTCCTGGGTGGGTAACGAGGTCCAGAATAACTCACTCCAAACTTCCTCTTCTTCTCTTCTTCTTTGGCCTTGTGTTCCTCTCGGCTCTCAACTTCATAGGCTTCGTACTAAAGTGCTACTTCCTTGATAGTAGTCATTCTCTCTTCATCGACCATGTGGATCTTTTCTTTCAACCCTAGGCGCAGAACATGTTAGTATCTCATCTTCTTCTTATGCTCGGTATCCGCCAACCCATCTTAAAAATAGAGTAGTCGAGCAAACTTGATTGTATACTCAATAACTCTCATGTCCCCTTGCTTAAGGTTGGCGAACTCATTATTCTTTGCCCTGATAAAAGCTTCAGGAAGAAACTCTATCTTAAAGGCCTTCAGGAACTCCTCCCAGGTGAAATGAATCCGTTCATTAACTCTTGAGACCGAGGACCACCAGCTCTAGGAGAAAAACAACGTGTTGTACTTTAGGAGAAAAACAACGTATTGTACTTTTTCCTCTAGGTCGCATATAGATACTCAAACACATCTTCAACCTCCCTCAACCACTCTACCACAACATCTGGACTCACATCTCCCTTAAAGTCCCTACCACCCAAAATTTTCACCTTTGAATAGTCTAATATTGGCGGTCTTGCATCATCCACCCCCCACTCCTCTGGACTGGTCAGTAGGAACATCTTCACAACTTCCATGTGAACTACAAGGAAACATTGACCCTAGATTGATCCACACAAAGTTCAGTCTAAACCAAATCTCTCACTTGGTTAAAACAAAATTTTCCAAAGTAATTACTAGGATAAAAAGTTCAAAACACAATTTTGAAAAGCATGATGCATGTAATTCCATCTAACATACCAATAAACATAATCATGTAAAACTCGATTCCCAGATTAAGTCATTATGGGGTACTCCCCTCCTTAGGAGTATGTAACCTCCCATTGGGCATACTATGTCATAACAACTAAAAGAGGGAACCGGGCTCTGATACCAAAATGTAACACCCTACCCTGTATGATTTGCTTAATCATATTGTTCATTCAATTGCACCGCAATTTAACTTGGGTGTTACACTAATTCCTAAAATTGACCCAACTAAAATTTTCGAGATGAATTACTCGTGTAATAGTTCTTGCAACGAATCCTGCAAAATAATTTATATGAATTCCTGCATTCATAGACATACATCTATACTCACAACCATGTACATTAGCTTTTCATAGCCATAGTAACAGTTTCATACTTTGAAGCTACATATCATACTTATACATGTCATAATTGTCACAACTTGCCCAACCACACACATATCATCAACTTTTCACACCTGTGAATATCTCACATTATATAAGAAGCTAGTATGCACATGAAAAAACGTTCCCAAAACACTTTTACAAAAAGGTGTGAATAACTGGCTAAAATCCCGAGTGGTCGTCCCAGCACATAATAGTTGAAGACCATACCTCATCTTGCCTTCAACTCCTGCTCAACTCCCACCTATACACTTATCTACTACTGTTGATGATGATCAATTATGGTAGTTCAAACACCAGTTTTAGCTCCTCGTACTACAACGTACATCAATTTCACCAACAAACCCAAAATTAAAATATGAGACCGTTCTAATATCCCATGTAGTGTCCCCATCGATATTAGTACTAGACTCCGGGTCCAATTCTAGATAAAAAGTCATCAAACCCTAGACGGAGCTAAATTCAGCGATTTCGACTTCGACCTAAATAATTGCTGAAATTCATGGATTAGAACCTGAGGATTAATTACCTCGCTCCAGGAAACTCGTATATGAAATTTGGGCTTAATTCGACTTACGAACCCTCCAAAACCCTAATTTCTTTTATCTGAAGTCAATAAATCGCTAATCCAAAAACTTGTTTTAAAACTCTAAATTAATAAACTACGATTTATAGAGGAATTAGGCGTTACTTACGATATTTTTGGATCACTAAAAATAAAGAACTAAGCTTTGAACTTTTCCCTCGTCCCTCTCCTAAACTGCTCTGCATGCGCTGCTCTGGCTCTTGGTAATGAGAAGGAAAAGATGATGCTGGGGAAATAAATGGACCGGGGAAGGGAAAATATATATAAGTGGTCTGTGACCGCTTGCTCTTTTTATTTTATATAATTATATATAATATATAATATATAATATAATATATAATTATTAGTAATATGTATACTTATTCGATCGATATTCTGATTTTCGTCAAAATATTATCAAAACTCGATTTAAATTGCATAATTTCTAGTGATTGAAATATGGGAATCGCCGGAACGAGATGTTACGGTAAGTCTAATGATTCTTTCCTTCCTACTGTACATGTAATAATTAGTATTACCCGTGAGAAAGGAAAGAAAGTAAAAGGGGTAAATGATGGAAGAAAATGACTCATTTCCCCCATTTTTCAATTGAAGTAGTTTTGAAACTTTTGGATGCATAAAATGACTGCTTTTCTTAACGATCTAATAGAGAATATTGTTTCCATAGTAAGACCTCAAACGAACCAAGGAGGCAACTCGAAAACATAGAAGAACCTCAATCCAATATCGGATAAAAGATGGTGACGAGTAAGAAAAACATCAAAGGCAGAAGCTTAGTAGGCCTTTTTAACTGACGCCCCTTACTCCTATTATACTATTACTTAGCCGCTACTCCAAAGAAATCTAATTCTACCTTGCAATTAACCAACGTCTAGGGATGACAATCAAACCCATGGTCGCGGGTATCTGACCGCTTCCGACTCAGTTAACGCGGGGAATTCTCGCTTTTACTGGGTATGGGGCGGGTATGGGTAAAACCCGCAAAAAGTTTGAATGGTATGGGGCGGGTATGGTTTTAGCCTCCCCCGTCCCATACCCATATCCATACCCGCCCCACCAAGAGAATTTCTTCACATATAAAAATATATGTCGATCAAAGTGTACCCTATTAATGATAATGAGGGTAATTCGAAAAAATAAATAGTAGAAATGCACCTAATGAAAACCTTATTTTCCCCTCAATTCTCAATTCTCCCTTCACTCTTTCACTTTTCCTCTTGTCAACAAGATTAAGTTAGTTAATTATTACTTATTACATGTATCAGAGTTAGAGCATAATAATTTGAAAAATATTGTACTTACGTATTAATGGATGTTTTTGGATCATATTCTTTGAACCGTGTTAAGCAAACAACTGTGTTTTGTTGAATTAATGATATAGTAGGTTCTTTTGAAGTTATAATTAAAAAATTTCTTGTAAAGGTTTAGGTATAATAGTGTTGGATGAATGAGGCGGGTATTACCCATGGGTACCCGAAACCCACGGGTACGGGGATGAGTTTGCAAAATACTCTCTCGCATGGGTATGAGACGGGTATGGGTTTGGGTATTTGCAAACGGGGATGAGGATGGTTTAGACAAACCCGCCCCATTGCCATCCCTACGGCAACGTCCCTTACCCCAATCCTACTCCAATAATGATAGGAAAGAAAGAATACACGTAACACTCCACAGGTAACAAATTTGAAGAATGAGAATCGTTAGGAAGGCCTTGGTCTATTAAGACTTGGGAGGAAGTCAGATCTCACCATGCAGAAAGAAGTTGGAGAAAGAAAAGGGGAGAAACTGACCTTAGACAAACCGTCGGGATGAGTGAACAACAATTTTCTCTATGAGAGGTATTGATTTTGACCTAGCGGTGAGAGAGATCTCACTAGTGGTTGCCACCTGGTGTTAGTGAAGCGAGACAAACAACAACGTCACTGAAACTCGTAGAGATGAGGGTCATTGGCTTTGGTATTCAAATGTTGGAAATGCACTATCTTTTTAAGCCACTATAGAAATTGCTTGCCAAATAGTTTTCCCAAAACTGAAGACGAAGCGGGCTCGATGCTTGAGATTTAGCTCATCCGTGATGAACTGAGAGCCGAGAGAGAATGTTCTAGTTGGTATAGTGGGCTTTTGATAACGAGCTTGCAACAAAGCAACACATACAAATCACATTACAATACTCATACGATGTTATTAGTCTGCTCAGAAAACTTGGGTATATTATTTAGGGGTGTGCAATAGTTCGGTCTGTACCGAACAAGGTTGTTATAATCTCCTATCGGACTCCCGGTTGGCCTATGTCTGACCTAAGTCGGGCTTCAAAATGGCTTCCAGAAAGCTCCCTAGTCTGATCTCTAAAGAGGGAGAAGAAGAGGAACGAAGGAAGGGAGATGGTGGGTGAGCCATGGAGGTTAGGTAAATTTATTTTGTGAAAAATGAGTTTTTAATATATACATGTAAGATAAATTTCATTTCAGTCATTAAATATTTACTTACTACCTTATTTGTATATATATTTAAAAAACGTCTAAAACGGCTCAAACCGGTCGGACCCCGATCAAACCAACAAACCTCAAACCCCTTGTTTAACCGACTCAATGACTTAAACTGGTTTGACAACCTTGGTGCCGAACCACACCAGATCAAATCGAAGTTTGGATCAAACTACATCGAACCGAGTATAATACGGCCCGGTCCTTGGTCATCATGAATTTTATAATTACTAAAGAAATGATGGACCGAACTGATATTTGGACCAGACCGAACTGAACCAAATAGATCGAATACAATTGTAATCCTGTCTTTGGTCCTAAAATATCTATCACTAATGAACCGTGGTTCTAATGAGTTTGATCTAATCCGGACCGAATCAAATCGTTGCACCCTCGAGATATATCGACTGCCTCTTTCTGGTTCTATTGTACAAATTGATTGTCCTACTCAGTGGCGGATACATGGAGGTTTAGGGGTGTCCCGGGACACCCCTAAAATTTGGGAACAGGATTATCCAATCTTCGATAGTAGTTTATGTAATGGGTTAAAAAAATGGATCTCGTGGAGTTCCGGGGGATAAACCCCTAATCCCGATTACACGACCCCACATTCAAAATGGATCTCCTATGGTATCTTACTTTATAAAAGAAGGTCGAGGGGAATGGGACGTTCCAAAACTTCAAAATTGCTTTGAACCTCACTCTGTTGATCTCATAAGGAGAATTCCTCTCCCTCGTCTCTCGCAACAAGACATTAGAGTGTGGCACTATTCTAAGGATGGTAAATATACAGTCAAATCGGGTTATCACTTAGCTTTGGAAAGAATATTAGCTCCAAGTCGAAAACCGATAGTGCAAATCATTGACCCCCCCATTTGGAAAAAGACTTGGAACATCCAAGTTCAGCCTAAACTCAAATTCTTCATATGGCAATGCCTCAAAGTCATACTCCCCACAGTAGTAGCCCTTCAATCTCGTGGAGTTAATTGTTCTAACCGATGCCCTGTCTGCTGGAGACATCGAGAAAGTATCGAACATTTATTTTTCAGATGCCCCCTAGCCATCAGATTGTGGTCTTTCGTGGGATTGAGCAACTTTATTGAGACCGCCCAGACTGTTAATTTTAGTCTATGGTGGCGACATGTCATGGTCTCTGAGACCTCCCCATTCCACATTCTCCAATGCGTCTGTTTACTTTGGAGAATCTGGAAGTCTAGAAATGTGGTGACCTTTGAATTTACCCAACCTCATATCCATTCTTTAGCCAGACAGTTCTACAACCAGGTCCTCGAATTTTCCAGCCTCCTTCCTCCCCCTCCTCCCCGCAGCTCCATCCTCCCATCCTTGTCCGCCTCTTCTTGGGTTCCTCCACCGGAAGGCTTTTTGAAGATCAATGTCGACGCAGCGGTTAGTGCCTCCGGATGCTCGTTGGGCTTGTTTTCCGGGACTCAGACGGGCATGTGAGGTTGGCGATCGGATTGCAGCATCAAGGAATAGTCAACCCTTATCTGGCTGAGCTTCTTGCTTTCAGGGATGCTATCTCTTTTGTAGCCTCAAGATCCTTATCTCACGTGATAGTCGAAGGCGACTCTGAAGTGGTTGTCAACCAAGTCCGTCATGGCATCTTAGAAGACTCGGTGGGTGGTTCGGTGCTTCGAGAGTGTCTCCAGATTCTTAGCTCTTTTTCTGCTTGTATAGAGTTTAGGGCGGTACCTAGATCCGCCAACAGTGCTGCCCATAGAGTGGCGCGTAAAGCACTGCTTTTGTCTCCTGTAGAGCTAGAATCTTTTGATTTCTTGGGGGTAGCTTCAGTAGAGTCTTTTTGGGGTCCTGGGTAGAATTGAAAGCTTAAATATTTCTTCTCATTGATATCACTCAGAAAAAAAAAATGGGTAAAAAAAAATATTTAAGTGGTTGTCGGACACCCCTACATTTTGGGAAAAGGATTATCCAGCCTCCTATAGTAGGTTGCGTATGGGTAAAAATAATATTTAAATGATAGTCTATGTAATTTGAACTTGGGCCAATACTACTATTAGTAAACATATTTTCAATTAGACCACAACTCATTCGGTTGTTATGTTTTAGTTTCAAATATAATAATAAAAGACTATTTTTATCATCAATTATTTTCAAAATCTAACGATTAACTCAATTACAGGCTACCCTTGTCTATCATGATATGTAGAGAGAGTTATGTTTAGTAATATAGACACATAATGTATTTCACCATTTTTTCGTAATAAAAAATACGTATGAACTTTTATTGTAACTTTTACCGTTTACTAGTCGGATATTTTCATACTTAATAAGTATTTATTTTAATTTTTAATTAAATTTAATTTTTACGACAAGACACTCCTTTGTAAAATTTATGGATCCGCCACTTGTCCACTCTTCTTCTACGATCCATTATTAAGTAGTTAAAAAAAAAGGCAAGCATTTGGCATCGTCGCGGAATATTTTAAAATTCTTCTTTTGTAAAGAAAATGGAAATATAAAATGGAAAATAGATACGCTGAGGAACAATGAAGTAAAAAGGAGAAATAAAGCACCCTCTCTCGCCTCCGCTGCACCCATTGGCCGCGCCTATAAATAAAGTAAGAGGCAGTAGCGCTGCCGACTAAAAGGTGAGAAAGAGAGAGAGCTTCTCCGCTCCCGTTTTCTCCTCAGTTCAGTAGTTCATTGAGCTGAACTCTCCCAAGGATTGGCTTAACTCACCCTCTTATCAATTGACTATAACTACAGCTGCTCTTCCTCCCGGCGAAAAGCCGCACAGTGATTCGGCGATAGATTGTCTGCGTCAGAGTGAGGGGAAAGCTTCATGGATGCTTACGCGCTTCATCTGGCCATGGCGGCTCTGGTCGGAGCATCTTTCGTCGCCGTATCCGCTTATTATATGCACCGCAAAACCCTAACGCAGTTGCTGGAGTTCGCCAAGACCGTCGAAAGAGAAAGAGAGAGGTCGGACAAGGAGGAAGAGAACTACTCCGACGGGGACTCTGCGCAGCATTTGAAGAAGCGGCGTAGCAGCCACAACAAGAAGAAGGGGAACGGTTACTACCGCCGCGCCTCGGCGTCGCTACCTGACGTGACGGCTATATCCGGCGGGCCGATTGACGGAGAAGAGAGGCGGAATGGCCTGCTACACGTGGACGGGATTCCACCTGGCTTGCCGAGGTTGCACATGCTGCCTGAAGGTATGGCTATGTCGTACCTTTTCGCCGGAGTGATGAAAACGGCTTGAATTGACGGCTCCTTGCAATTTTTATATATCTATGGAAGAATGGAGTCCATATTTGCAAGATCACTTGTTTCAACTCGAGTAGCCCTGATATATTCTGTGGATGCTGATCATACTCATTTTCTATGTTTTGGTTGCCAATCGTCTTGCGGAACTGATTTTAGTCAGTAGTTAAACGCGTTGGATGTTCATTTTTTAGTGCTTATTGAGAGATAGGGCACCATAATGTAAGAATAACGATTAAATGGGATAAAAGTTGATGTGTTAGAACTCGGAAACCAGTCAAAATAGTAGCTTTTTTCTGTGAATGGGAAAGAAAAACTGAATGAAGGCATTTACATTAGCAGGGTTTATCGGTGCTTATCAGAATCTCTATTCAAAACTGAGGGTTTGATTCATGTTTACACAAATTAGCTAAACACAGTTGTACAGTTGTAATTGATTGTGTGGATTACCAACTTTAGCTTCTATGGATCCGAGAACAAAGATTTATGTTTTGCGCCTTTCTTGCCATTAATTCTTATCTTGGTTGAACAATTTAGAGAGCAGGGTAGGGGTGGGCTTTCTTTAACTATGCCATTCTTTCTTTTCAGGTAAATCTGCTGGACATACTAAGAGAGCTGGAAATCTCATTAGACCAACTTCTCCGAAGTCTCCTGTTGCCAGTGCTAGTGCCTTCGAGAGTATAGAAGGGTCGGACGAAGAAGATATTATTACTGAAGATATAAAGCTAGACACCACTTACATGCTCCCTAATGGAACAGCTGTGAGTGTATTTATTTTGTGTGATGCAAAGGACTGTCTGTCACCTTGAAGCATTTCATGTCCATTCATACATTAACATTGCTTTTTGTTCTCTAGCCTTTGCCTCCCCCATTTGATTATGCCTTTTTGTTTAAGCTCGAGAGGATTTGTTTCTGAACCTTACATGTTCAGGAGAATTTATCAGACCAAATTCACAACAATGGGGAGCAAATTGCCATCCCTGCTGCAAGCATGATCCGTTCACATAGCGTATCTGGTGACCTACATGGTGTCCAGCCTGACCCAATTGCAGCTGACATTTTGAGGAAAGAGCCTGAGCACGAAACTTTTACACGACTGAGAATTTCTCCAACTGGTATCAATTGCCTACTCTCTGCATGATGAACTTGTTTGACAGCAGTTACCTTCATTTTCAATGTGGCTTTTCTTACCTGCAAAATGTTTCTGGTAGCAAGCATGATGAGCAGCATGTCATGAGACGCTTAACTAATTATGAATGATAGCATTTATGTGTTGATATATGCCACTGTATAAGTAACTGCTTAAAACAAACCGGGGAAGTTGGAGACATGCACATAGAACCTGAAACACATACAGACAATGGCATTGCTGTAATCGACTCTTTCACTGCTGTCTTCAATGCTTCTGGCAGAACTATTGCTTAATAACTTCTTAGTTTACAAGTGTTCAATGTATAGAATCTCTGGGATGCTATTGATTCTTAGCTGGCATTAAAAGTTTTCTTATTGTTTAACCTTTACCAGAGGTACCCTCACCTGATGAAGCGGAGGCATACATTGTTCTGCAAGAATGTCTTGAAATGAGAAAAAGATATGTATTCAAGGAAGCTACGGCTCCATGGGAGAGAGAAGTAATTTCTGACCCTAGCACGCCGAAGCCTAATCCAGAGCCTTTCTTCTATGCTTCAGAAGAGAAGTCCGATGTGAGTTGATATGCTTGGTCCCTATACCTGGACAAGATTATAACTCTTAATTTCTTTTCCCCTCTAATCTGACTGTTATTTTTCTTCTTGAAGCACTATTTTAAAATGCAAGACGGTGTAGTTCATGTATATCCGTGTAAAGACTGTAAGGAGTGATATTCCTCAGCTATATTCTAGTGCAAATTATTTGTCAAAGGTGTGGATGTGTATGTGTGTTTAACTATGCGTTTGCTCTTCTCCAGCCAAGGAAGAGCTCTTTCCTGTTGCTGATGCAACAACCTTTTTCACTGATTTGCATCACATACTCAGAGTTATTGCTGCTGGAAATATGAGGACTTTATGTCATCATCGGCTTAATCTTCTGGAACAAGTAAAGGCCTCTTAATGAATAATTTAATTTTGAAATTATGGACATACAATCTAGTCTTGAGGAGAAGTTTTGACCTTTTGCTTTGTTTGTTTGACAAATATACAGAAATTCAACCTCCATTTGATGCTTAATGCTGATAGGGAGTTCCTAGCCCAGAAAAGTGCTCCACATCGTGATTTCTACAATGTCAGGAAAGTTGACACTCATGTTCATCATTCTGCATGCATGAACCAGAAGCACCTTCTAAGGTTTATTAAATCAAAATTGAGGAAGGAGCCTGATGAGGTAAGGATTTGATTTCCTGTAAGTTTGAATGTCTTATGCATGTTCTTTCTTTTTTTCGACTTGGATGCTGCTTTTGTGAAAGACGAATTTAGCTTTTGGATCCAGCCAATGTAGTTAACATATGTACGTGATGTGAATATGTGATTATTGGAATCTTCCCTAACCAATTAATGTTACATGCACTTTCAGGTTGTGATATTTCGAGATGGGACTTACTTAACACTGAAAGAAGTTTTTGAGAGTCTGGATTTGACTGGGTAATGAATTCTGCAGTTATCTCTGTTCTTTCTCTAGAATGAGAATAGCATAATCTTATCAGCATTTTCTTGAACAGGTATGATCTCAATGTTGACCTTCTCGATGTTCATGCGGACAAAAGCACGTTTCATCGGTTTGACAAGTTCAACCTTAAGTATAATCCTTGTGGCCAAAGTAGACTCAGGGAGATTTTTCTTAAGCAGGATAATCTCATCCAAGGTACAACTTGTTGTCTTGGGACTCTGCAGGGTTAAATGTCGTAGCAGCAATTACAAATCACCTAAAGATCGTCAGTTCTGTGCCTTAGGAAAATATAAGTCGGTAACGGGAACAAAAATTGTATTTTAACTTTTAAGTACTAACGATTGCCGAAATTTGATATGGGATTCTCTATGGACCTCAACAACGACGTGAATCTGCTGGTGTATCCTTATAGCTGGCCCCAGCAGCTAAAGGCTGATAAATAACTATTTTCTTACTGTTACATTGATGCTTGATACATTCTTCACTCAATGGTCAAGCTGTTTCCATCTGCTTATTGTTTGCTCTTGGTAAATTTTGGAGCTTCCCAATATGATCTTATTGCTGTATGTTGATAACAGGTCGTTTCCTTGGGGAGTTAACAAAACAAGTGTTCTCTGATCTCGGCGCAAGTAAATATCAGGTGCTTTATGGTCTTGCTTTTTTGGAATTTGGTATTTCATGGACATAGTTTCTTGGATTCATCACCTGTTGAAATGCTACAGCCTCTGGGCAAGTATGCCATGTTTCACTACTCTCAATCAATGTATGTGAGGAAGAAGGTCAATTTAATCTATGCCAATATTGCAAGGAACTGTGTTGTGTTACTTACCATATTGCTTCGAGAGTTTGGGATTAGGTAGTCTTCTGAAGTAATCTTGATGGAGTTTGCATTTCCAAATTCCATCAGGAAAAATGCTGATGGAGTTACTTGCTGATATACTTAAGTTTAACTATCTGGATTGTATTTTGATGAGTGGTGCATGATGTTTTTAATGTAGATGGCTGAATATCGAATATCAATATATGGGCGGAAGCAAAGTGAGTGGGATCAGCTTGCTAGCTGGATAGTTAATAATGATCTATACAGTGAGAATGTTGTCTGGTTAATTCAGGTATTGAATAGTCTTTCTGAGGTGCATGAACACTTGGTTGTTTTATTCCTTTTCAAGGTATATTATGTATGTTTTGCATATTCCACATGAAGTGTGCTTGGCGTAACTTGAGCATTAAAAGATGCATTTGGCTTCTGTTTTATGAAATAGTTTGGAGCTTTAGTAGAAGCCATGGTTTGTTGAGTTTTGAAATATGAGGAAACACATGCTTGTTGTGATAGTGGAGGTTGATTAATGTTTACAGTTGATGATATTAGTGGTTTAAGGTACTGTAAGGAGTATCCTTGAGATGCTTTTTTTTTTCTTTTTCTTTTTCCAGCTTCCACGACTCTACAACATTTACAAGGAGATGGGAATTGTGACATCATTTCAGAATATCCTTGACAACATATTTATTCCACTCTTTGAGGTCACTGTTGATCCAGATTCACATCCTCAATTGCATGTTTTCTTGAAACAGGTATGACCCTTCTTCCTTCTGTTTTCTTGGATATATGTGCAATGTGACTCTGATCAGGCGCATGCCTTTATTCTTTATTGTGAAAGCCTGGATCATGCCTTCCATACCTGCTGATTTCTCTGTTTTACTTTCTTACTATCGGTCCATTTCGAAATGAAACAGAAACTACGCGATCAAAGTATCTTTCTTTTCCACTGAAAATTAAAGTCCTACAATATTGATAATGGTAAAATGTAAAATCTTCGTAGATGATTTTTTGTGTAAGGGTTACCAATGAAATTAATCGAATGTTAAATTAGTTCAAGGAAAACACTTACCTATTTTCTTAGACTTAGTCTACTATCATACTTCCATTATACGGATTTACATTATTAATTAAGCATGTAGCTGGCTGCTGCCTCTGAATTAACAGGTCTGGTGCACCTTGTTTTGCTTTGTACCTTTAAAAAATTGTCCATGGTTTTGCGTACATAACTATATATTACTGATTAACGTGGTAACTGTGGAGTCTGTTCACTCAGGTTGTTGGGTTGGATTTGGTTGATGATGAAAGCAAGCCGGAAAGACGCCCCACGAAACACATGCCCACTCCAGCTCAGTGGACGAATGTGTACAACCCTGCATTTTCATATTATGTGTACTACTGTTACGCCAATCTCTACACATTAAACAAGGTTCGCATTGCAAATTCTCTAGTCCTACACAACATTGCCATTCTACTTGCACACAGAAATTGTCATTCTACTTGCATGAAGTTCAATACTACTCTGTCAATTACATTGTCCTCGCCTTTCTGGTCCTTTTCCTGCTTATATGGGATGGTTACTATGAAAGATCATTCGCCAGCATGTGGAGACATTATGACCTCGGAACTCTGATTATTAGAGCACTGGTTTGATGCTCTGATTCCGTAAATTTATTTCTGCACAATGTTTACCCTTTTATGATTCCAAATTTTCAGCTTCGTGAGTCAAAGGGCATGACAACTATCAAACTCCGCCCACATTCTGGAGAGGTACTCGTGGAAGGGACCGTAGTCATTTTTAAGTCTGTATTTTCCCCAGGACTCTAACTTTGTGAATACCTAATAATTTAGGCTGGAGACATTGACCACCTGGCTGCAACTTTTCTCACGTCTCAAAATATAGCTCATGGGATCAACTTGAGGAAATCTCCTGTACTTCAGTATTTATATTACTTGGCACAGGTATGCAAAACATTGTACCCTCACTCTAATCTTTGGATGCTGCCATGTCTAATTCTTGGTGGTACATCTTTTCCCTCTAAAAATTATCAGATTGGCCTGGCTATGTCTCCTCTCAGCAACAATTCTTTGTTTCTCGACTACCATCGGAATCCGTTTCCAATGTTTTTCCTCCGAGGCCTCAATGTCTCGCTCTCTACCGACGACCCTCTCCAGATCCACTTGACCAAAGAACCCTTGGTTGAAGAGTATAGCATTGCTGCTTCTGTGAGATCTCATTCCTTTTCCTGGGATTAATTTGCTTGCAAGTTTTATAGTGTAATTTAAGACTGCAATGAAATTAATATCTCTTCCCTTCCATTTTTTTGGGTGAAATCTCTTCCCCTCATTCAAAGGTTTGGAAGTTGAGTTCGTGTGATCTCTGCGAGATTGCTCGGAACTCAGTATACCAGTCTGGTTTCTCTCATGCTTTGAAGGTATGGGCACTCAACCAAAGATTCAATAGGGGGACAATGCATAACAAGAAACATAAGGGAAAGGCAAAGACAAGGGGGGGAAGAAATATATGTTGTAAACTTGTAATGACAGATGCTCTCTGCTTGTTTCAGTCGCACTGGATAGGGAAGCAGTACTACAAGAGAGGACCAGATGGTAATGACATTCACAAGACAAATGTACCCCACATACGTGTTGAATTCCGTGACACGGTATTTCTCGAAGAACCCTTTAGTGTCTGTTTGGAGTCTGTATAGGGCTATGGGCTTGATTCCTAGAACTTTTTTCTGGCATTCGTTTCACCTGTAGATCTGGAGGGACGAGATGCAACAAGTTTACCTTGGAAAGGCCGTTATCCCCTACGACGTGGATAAATAAGTCGGCATACTCTAGTGGGCTGCAGGTAGATTTGATGAGCTAGGTTTCTGCAGGATCCAGTTGAGTTCGTCTTATGGACTAAATAATTTATACAACGGAATATATGCTTGTATACAAGATCATCAAATGGACTCCCCGGCAAAAAGTAGCTCAACAGAAAGAGAAGGAGAGCCATAATCCATAGGCTAGGCTTGTACATCGTCCTTGATGAAATTTGGTGTACTTCAGAAATGAGAGGGCGGGAACAGGGCTGCAGGAGTAATGCATCAACCTCCTCCAAACAAAGAATAAGTTAGCTTCTAATGCTATTAATATATCTATAGGTGGCTGCGAAAATATAGCCTCAATATGCTATGCAGGTCGTAAGATGAATTTTGTATTTTGTCACAATCGACTGTGTAGGATCTGATGAGAGACATAATACGCTGTATGGGATTAAACTTTGTAATCAATGCTGAGATGAGTTATACTTTCAGATTGACTGCCGTGGTCCTTTTTCTTCTTCTCGAAATTCTTCTTTGACAGGTTTATAAGTTTGGGGGATTTTTCCAGAAATAGCATCTTTAAAAAAAAATAATTACAAAAATAGCACCCATCCGTAAAATTTACACTAATAGAAATCTTTTTAATAGAACGCACCTTGTAGATGCGTTTTACAAATAGATCGCATTAGTAAGGTGCGTTCCAATTTTCTGGACTCAAATCGCATTTTGGCCAAGCGGTTTTAGGTCTGACCTATTGAAACCGCTTGGCCGAGGTGCGGTTTTAGGTCTGACCTATTAAAACCGCATCATAAAGGTGCGGTTTGTTTCTCCCAAACAAAATCGCATCCTCATGGTGCGATTTTGCCATACAAATCGCACCTTGAAGGTGCGGTTTTGGTCAATCAATTTCCGACATGCCATGCAGACGTAACAGACGTGGGTCTGCATGGGCCTGCATGGCAGACGAAAACCGCACCTCTAAGGTGCGGTTTTCATCAGTGATTTTGCCTATAAAAGGCCTCCCGGACAACCACTTCTCTTCACACCTCTCCTTCTCCCTTTTCAATTTTCTGTTGTAGCTCTATATTTCTTTAGTAGTTTTGCGATTAACGTTAACTCGTAAGTTGATTTAGTATTACTTTTTATTGTTATTTTTTATTTTTGATTTTTATGATATTAACTGAACTACGGTTTTATCGCAGATGGCATTCCAAAAGTTCACGCTTGGCTTATGGTGGAATGGTTACACGGAAGAGACCGGAAAGGGGGGTCACCTACGTAGGTGGCAATTTTCAGAAGATAAAGGTCGCTACCAGACCGATGCTTGAAGACCTCCATCAAATGTGCACTAACGTTACTTGCATGGATGGCATGAGAAGAGTTGATCGTATGGTGTACCGATATCCAAACAGAGAAAATGGGTCATTGTGGCATGGGGAATATCTCATACCCACTTAGGATGAGGTAGACGCCATGCTCGAATTCATGAGGTCCAGCAATCTTTCCAAAGCCGAGATGTTCGTTTACACCGAGCCGGTCGTAGGCGTTGGAGGTCATTCTGGACACGGTCAAACATCTGGTATCCATGGTGGAGGTGAATTATATGGCGATCATCCCTACCAAAGTTACCATGATCCTCATTCATATTTTCAGTACCAAGAGCAAGGTGAAGGTCATCATCAATCATATGAAGAAGAAGTTCAACCGGACCGGCCCAACCAACCTCAGTACAACTTCCACTCAGGCAGCGGTAGTTTTCACAACTACCATTATGGAGCTGATGAAGGTGCCTTTCATGAGCTGGATCAGATGGAGGATGTCATGCCAGCACCAGTCAGTGACCCCTCCGATGAAGAAGGAGAGAACAACGTCATTGCAGACAGCTCCGACCCTCTTGAAGGTGCCGATGATTCAGGACCAGAGTCAGACTTAGCTAATGATGATGAGGGGGCTCGTGACCGTGTACCAGTCCCCTACTACAATCACATTCCAGAAGACAATTGGATGGTCGACAGCGACATGGAGCCGCCAGAGGTCCCAATATGGGGTCCACTCACTGGGTTTATGAAGGGCCAACAATTTGGCTCAAAGAAGGAGGTGCGTCACGCCATTGAGACAGAAGCAATGACTCGGCATTTTGAATGGCACACAACTCATTCAACACTAAAAGGCTCATAGTCAGATGTCGTAATCATCACGAGGGGTGCAATGTTAGGATTCGGGCCATCAACAGCAAGAGACACTGCCACTGGGTCATATCTCGTGCGGTGAACACACACACATGTGTGTCATCCATAACTTCCCAAGGCCATCGACAGTTGAAATCCAGGGTGGTTGCTGCGGCTATCAAGCATCTAATTGAGCAAGAGCCAGACCTAAAGGTGAAAGTCATAATCGCTGACATTGCAAGTCGTTATGGTTATATGATTAACTATAAGAAGGCGTGGCATGGAAAGCAGAAAGCTTTGGCCGCCGTCTTTGGTGATTGGGAAGAATCATATGCATTCCTTCCCTGGTTAATTTTTGCATTGAAGGCGTCTAACCCTGGCACGGTTTTCTCCCCTCGATACCAAGATGAAGAGATACAACCCCCAGAGCCAGGTAACAAGCGCCATTTCAGACGACTTTTTTGGGCATTGAAGCCATGTATTGATGGCTTTGGCTTCTGTGTCCCTGTCATCCAAGTGGATGGAACATTCCTTACCGGCAAGTACAAGGACACTCTCCTTATTGCCAGTGGGGCGGATGCAAACAGACAAGTCTTTCCTTTAGCCTTCGCCATCGTTGAGGGAGAGAATGTTGATAGCTATGGATGGTTTTTCCGGCAAATTCAGCTCCATTGTACTCGGAGGACGAACCTGACAATAATCTCTGATCGGCACGCTGGCATTAGAGCTGCCATCTTAGGTTTAGATCAGCCTGGAAGTGGTCCCAAAGGTGGTGCATACGACACTTCAAGAGCAACTGGAACCATCATTTCAAGCGGAAGAAGCTTGCTGATAATTTGTGGTGGATTGGTAAGTTTGTAATTAGCCGTATAATTTAGTTCCAATTACAATATCTTAGTACATTTGGCGAGTGGTGCACTGGTTAGACTCTTTCTAAAGTGATGCATGCCTAAGGAAATGGGGTTTTAAGCGGTTATCATGATCCTCCCATTTCCTGGGAAAATCGGGTTTTAAGCGATCTTCGGATCCCCCCTTTTTCTGTCAAACAGGCTGTGTTTCTAAGGAGATGCATACCTCTCCTAAGAGTCTAACGAGAGTAACTCCGGGCTGTTCGAATTTGTACTAAATTGCCGAAAATTGACTAACATACTACTTTTCTGTGTCTTCCTCAGCGGTTGCCTACCAAGAGAAAAAATTTATGGAGAAGATGCAGAAGTTGCGCGAGTTATGCCCTGAAGGGGCACAGTGGCTGGATGGACATGACCTATCCATGTGGACATTTCATAAAGATGGAGGGACAAGATGGGGTATTGCCACAACGAACTCAGGTGAGAGTATCAACTCTGTCTACAAGGCCGTTCGTGCACTGCCAATCTCTGCCATTGTGGAGATGACTTTTTGGAAAACGAATGCATGGTTCGTCAACCGACTCCACTGGGCAAGGACGAACGAGGCACAGGGTAAGGTCCATGCCTATAAAGTCATGGAAGTAATGGAGAATGACAATCGCAAGAGCAGTCGACATAGTGTAACCGTTATGAATCGGGCAAATGGCGAGTATAGCGTGACGACCAGGCATCGGGAGGACGGTAGACGGGGGGGCCACCGCCATGAAGTTTTGGTCAATTTCAGGACAAAAGTTGGTGAGTGCTCATGCCAGAAGTATCAAGGGAGAGGGTGGCCTTGTTCTCATGCAATGGCCGTAATTAAAAACATGAGCAAAGACCCCCGTCACTTCGTTAGTCCGTTCTTCAATATCGACTCACTCAAAAACACCTATGGACGGAGTTTCCGTGCATTGCCTGATGAAGTTTATTGGCCGATGTACGAAGGAAAATTGATCATCCCGCCGTTCGGACAGAGGCGTGAACCGGGTCGCCCGAGGAAAAAGAGAATTAAGAACGAAATGGATCAAAGTGGAAGACCACCACGAGGCCCAAGACGATGTTCAATATGCAAAGTTCCAGGACATGATAAACGAAGATGTCTAGGCCCGATTGTTCCACAAAATCCGAGTCCTGATGTGCCGGACTCAGCTAATGCGACATAGTTTGCTTTTATCATTTTTTTTCAAGCTAGTTGAGACTCTTATTTTGCAAGTAATTGTGTATTGTTGATTGAACGAAATGTGTATTGTGTATTGTTGCTTTTATCGTTCATTGGCTCGAATTTGGGTTAGAACCCAGAATTTTCAATCCAATCTCTTCTCTCCACTGTATTGTTGATTGAACTAATTGGGATTACATAAAGATAAAAGGCATAGTTCCAAGGGGATAGAAATAAAACCAAATTGAAACAACAATCAATTCGATAAACTAAAATAATAGGAATAGTTCAAATTACATAGAAATTAAATTCAACTCTCAAATATAACTCAAGGAAGTCCACGAGCTTCACCGGAACCCACGATTTTCTTGCTCCTTGTACGACGATCGACGGGAGTAACAACAGGTGGTTGCGGTGGCAAGTTTTGAACTCGGGCCGAGGTAGTTTGGCGCTCGTCGGTGCTGTGTCGGCGGGGAATCGGCACTTCCGGGGTCGAGCGGGGGACATCCACGGAAGTACGGTGAGGAGTAGGAGGCCACTGCTGATGAGGGTGAGTCCATGGCGTAAAATCGTGGTGGGCCGTCGTGGAGGAACCATCATGCCAAGTAGCCGATGATGTATGGCGGGGAGATGGGGGGTAGACCGGGCGGTAATCGTAGTAACCTCCTTGGCAGGGAGATGGGGGGTAGATCGGGCGGTAATCGTAGTATGCTCCATGGCGGGGATCGTTGTATGAGATCGGGGTGGGACTCGGAGGGGTTTGATGGTAGGTCGAGCGGGGATCGTAGTACGAGCCTTGGTG